AAAAAATCAAAAAAAAACAAGGAACCATACATATTACAAGGTCAAGAGAAGCCAGAAAGAACCACACGAAAGAATGAGAAAAAAATCCACGCAAAGACCACAAATAACAGAAAGTAAGATAGTTAGAACTAAAATTAAAAAAAACAGTTAAAAAAAAAACAAAGAACCATATATACTACAAGATCAAGAGAAGCCAGAAAGAACCACACAAAAGAATAAGAAGGATAGACTGCAAGAGAAGTAAAATAAAAAAAGTCTACTAATCTAAAGATTTTTGCAAACTGAAAATCTGAAGTATTTAAAAAAATAAAGTTCGAATAAGCTATTCAATTTTAGTACGTATAAAATTTGTTGAATCTAAAGTCTAATATGTAATAAGTATTATATTTTGATATGACATATGTACGTAATAGTAAAAATGACTAAAAATAATTTAATAATTTAAGATCTGATCTGCACTGCTCAAACTCGATAATCGAGTTTTTACTCAAGTTTGACAAGTACTAGGAAGCTTTCAGTTAGTTAGAAAAAGAAGGACGTTCACAGTAGACCGTCCACCATATACTGGCAACTTTTGCAAACTGTGGCTATGACACACTTTCAGTTCTTTTTCTAACTATCTTACTCATTTCAAACAATATATAAAAATACTAACCTCTATAAATATTTTTCTGGTTGAGTTTCTTGAAAGTTATCAAGCTTCGTATTGGCATAATATATAATATGCAAGTAAAAGGAATAAACAAAAACAAAGCATGAAGAATAAAAAAAAATGTATGAAATACATGTTAAAAGAATATAAGAAGAAATATTATTACGCGTAGAAGTCTGATATATACAGAAGTTAATAAATTTTGTAGATCTATACATGATAATTTTTGATGTTTGTTTTGATTTTCCTGATTATACAACATTATATCTGATCTTGAAATCTTATTGGTTTGTGCTACAAAATTATCATGTGACTATGGAGATGAGGCAGGGCCAATGATTTTTTGTGGTAGTTAAAACTAAATTCTGCGTGTAGTTAAGACAAATTCTGTGATTTACTGTGATAAATTTTTTTGTGCAGTTCTGTAGTGCATTTTGTAATTTCTGCGTAG